TGATTTAAAGGTTAAAGTATTTTTTTTTTCTCAAGTAAGCTTTAAAAAATGTTTTTTTTTTACTTAGTCATCTTCTCAAAAAGGTTAGTCAATTAATAAAAAATGATTTTCATGCTTTAATTATTAAATTGGTTTAAATTATTATTTCAAAAATAAATTAAATAAATTCTAATTAGTCTAGTTTATTTAATATTCTAATCACTTGCAATCTAATTCAAATGTTTCATTTTTTGGATCCCTTCCTCTAAAAAATAAAAATGAAATAATGCGTCATTTATTTAATTATTTTCTCAAAGTTAATCAAATATTGTAAGTTATTATTTTTTATGTTAAATCATTATTTTCCTAAAAAATAGTCAAATATATTTTAGTCAAGTCGCAGGTCAACCGCATGTTAGCGGACACTTCGAATGCTTAAACCCTTCTCGAAGTGTAAATTGAACCCCGAACCCTCCTTTGGTATTTTCAAATGATTTTTTCTATTTAAATCTTTGAAAATTATAAGTTTTCTTAATTTCTTTAAAAAATTAAGTGGCGACTCTTTTCTAAGTATTTTTCTCAAATTGTTTTATACTTAGAACATTTCAAAAAGTGATTTTTCTAAAGGTTAGGATTATTACGGCACAACAGTAGTGAGTACACACTTCTTTATCTGTCTCTTTGTCACTCGATTGCAGGAATTCTCAATGAATTCGAGGATCGAATTACGGTTCAGGATTAGCACTGTAGCTGCCTAACAGAATTAACTACTTTCCGGAAGGGCTAAATCTAACTCTAACTCTTTAATTGTGTATCAGTACAGCCTCCTAATAAAAGATCCTTGTCCTCAAGGATCAAACAAGGGAATAATCTTGTCTTCAAAATAGTTGCAAACTCCGGGGTAGCTAATAATATCATGATCTACAAATACTGAAGATTGTGTTTACCAAGGTATAACCAATAATATATAGTTGACTACCTACCCTTCTGGCAAATATTATGAACAATAGATGTAACATCACCATTTCCCTGGAAATATTGAAACAAGAAAAGGAGTAACATGTAAAAAAGTGCATAATCCTAGAATATAAAAGGAGTAACATGTACTCTTCACTTTCAACGTCGCACTACTTTTGACAGGTGTCCGTTGACAGTTTTGAAGAATTCGAGCAACATAGATTGATAGCATATTGATGCATTACAGAACACAATAGAAGAAATGAGATTTCCCAATTTGAACAGATGAGGATCCTCCTACCTTCAATATTATAATCTTCACCTTTGAATTTGTTTCACTGGCATGAAGAAGTTCCAACAGTTGAGATAACTGAACAAACAAAATAAGAGCAATATGCATAAGACAGAGAATGATGAAGTCAATCAAAAATACAAAAAATAAAGAAAGCAGTAGTATTATATGCTGTCATACCATTTAATAAGAAAGTGCATTCAACTGGTTAGGCCTATTTAATATAAATGTTCTAACATTTGTTCTCTCCCCCACCAAAACCTGACAAATGAAAAAATAAAACAGTTAGATGTTTTTTTAATATTTTACCGAGTTCAGAATAACAAGTGGAGTGTAAAAGTTGTGTGATGAGAGGAGAATAGGATTGTACCTGATCAGTTCCGCCATTGTTACAAGAGCTTTGAGCCATGTTGTTTCTTTGGGAATTTGCACACTCACAAAGAAAAGCTTTGACCACTGCCAATTTATTGCTGCAGCAACGAGGCTAATTTCGTCCATTTATACCACCCAACTGAGCACGTTTTTTGAATAGCCTTAAATGTATGTAATAAAACTATGGACCCGTTTGGCCATAGATTTCTCAAGAACTAATATTTAGAGAAAAATTTGGCAAATAGTATTTGTTCATACAATTTGTTACTATTATTTGGCAAATATCTCAAATTTTCAAATACTAGTTTTTTCTAGTATTTGGGTCAAATCTCATTATTTGGGATCTTTTAAAAATTGAAATTTTACACCAAACTTTTATCTTTTACAAAAATTCCTTATAGTAGTTTTTTGCGTTGTATTACGTACATAATTTTTTACGTGAATACCAAAATAGTGATTTTGTCGGGGTCGTGAAGAGCAACCTAGGGCGTGTCATCCATTTCTTGATCGATGTTTCGTGGACGCTACGCAACATATATACTCTGCTGTTTCTATACGTATTCTTCATGCTCTGAATACAATTATGGATGAATGTGACTTTAGCGTTGTAATCTTGAATTTGAATTTAGTGTTGTTGTTGTTCAAAAAATGGTTACTTCTCTGTCTTTTTCTTACTGGGGGTTTATGTGTTAAATTCTGGTATTTCTACAATATTCAGTTTTGATTTTTGGGTATTCATCTAAAATTTGGTAACTTTATTTTTATTATTAAAAATAAAATTGCCATTTGAAATTTGAGTCTTTTTTTAAAGGCATGACAATTGATGAGTCATTTAATGAACCAAGTGACTTCATTTTATTGGTCCATGTAAATTTTTAAATCCAATATTATCATCCAACTTATCTAAAGTAACGGAAAAAAAAACCCACCACCCAGTAACCCATTTTTAATAGGGAAAATTGTATGAAATAGCAAACTATTCATTCAAATTAAATGTTATAGTCATAGTTTCTTTTATTTGTAATTCACAGCAAACACTCAATGTTTTTTGCCATCCCATTTGTATACTGAAATATACAAATAGACCCATTTGGTATACATATGTGTTGTTTAAAAATTAATTGCAAGACCCATTTGTATACCGAATATACAAATGGACCCATTCGGTATACATATGTGTTGTATAAAAATTAATTTCAGGACCCATTTGTATACCGAAATATACAAATCGACCCATTCGGTATACATATGTGTTGTATATATGTAGTAATTTTGTTTATATACCGAAATATACAAATACAGATTTTTATGTATATGTATACCGAAATATACAGATTAATAGCAATAGCAAACATAAAGTTTGCTATGGAGCACAATTATACAAACTATAGTTATAACATACAAATATGATTTTTATGTTTGCTAAACCTAAAATTTACTCGTTTTAATATTAACCCAATCTATCTTTCACCCCAAATTCACATAGGTCTGTTTGGTAAACCACTTTGTAATTGGAATTGGGTAATTATTATGATAGTAATTAGCAGCCTAATAATTACACATTTTAGTAATTACACTTACATGTTTGTTTACTACACTGTAATTACATATGTACTGTTTGGATGCACAATTATCATCATAATATTATATCAAATTTTTTAACTACAAGTTAATTATTTAAAATTTATTTAGACAAACAAGAAACTTTATTGATGTTATTAAATTAAATATTTAAGATATATATTGTCTTTTAAAAATATATTAATTAATAAACATAATGCTAATGAAATAAATAACAATGACATAAAAATAGATAGTACGAAAAAGTGCATAGAAACATATGAAGTAAAGGTTGAGAATGAGAAAGAAATGAAATGCAAATAATATGCAATAAAAATAAACTTTTTGAAATTTTTAGATTAATAAAAATAAAACAAGAATTTTAAATGATATAAATAAAAAATAGAAATTAAAAGAAGGTGTCAATTACACGTAATTATCTGCTCACCAAGTAATTACATGATCATCAAACAGATCAAATAATGTAATTACACCAAATCCAATTACCATTCAAACAGGTCCGGGGTTGCATACTCCAAAATGTAAGAACACTCAGTTGAATCCTTTTAGTTGTTGTGTTTGACTTGTATATCAGATATAATGTTTGAGGTTTAGGATCCTGCCAAGTGTGAGAGAGGATTTTAACAAACAATATAAACTCAGCTTTGAATTTCATTATGATTTTGTGATTCAATTAATGGAATTTGGGGTGAAAGATATTGTACTTCTTTCTTCTCTGTTTTTTGTGTTCATGTTTTTATTTTTGGAAAAGGGCTAAAAATATTCATGTACTATTCGAAAAGGTTTAAAAATATCAATCATCCACCTATTAGGTTAAAAATATCCTCAGTCAACCTTTTTGGTCCACTATTGCCCTTTAAATTAACAACCTTATATTTTTTAATTATTACTCCCTTTGTCCCATTTTATGTGAGGTGGTTTGACTCGGCATGGAGTTTAAGAAAGAAATGAAAACTTTTAAAACTTGTGGTCCAAAATGAATAATGAAAATTTGTGTGGCTGTAAATCATTTCATTAAGGGTAAAATAGACATTTTATAGATAAATTGTTACTTAATAAAGAAATGTGTCATTCTTTTTTGGACTGACTAAAAAGGAAAGTAAGTCACATAAATTGAGACAGAGGGAGTATTAATTATTACATGGCGTCTTTCTATTGGATAAAGTTAAATTCCAACCCACCAAACTTTCTCCTACACCACGCGATCCATATTGACATTTGTTGATCCAAGTTCAATTAAAAGATCCATCAGAAATAAAAAAGATTGAATTATCACTTCTCCCCCTAAACCTAATATCCTATTTTTCTTACTCCCCTTTTCTTATTAAGCGATTTCAAGATCAATTTCACCAAAAAGGTTGACTGAGGGATATTTTTAGCTCAATAGGTGGATGAGGAGTATTTTTAAACCTTTTCGAATAGTACAGGAATATTTTTGGCCCTTTTCTGTTTTATGTTTTTGTTTACTTGATCTCGAGTGTCTAGACTAAAGAAAATACAATTTTTATTTCATAATATATAATTATATATAGTTTATCACTATACCTATATATCAATATTGGTCTATAATTTTAATGGCGTTAGAAAATGATCAGTTAATATTTGAAAATAAAATTATTATTTTTATATGCTAAAGTGGAGAGGTAACCGTGAAATTTTATTTTTTTAAAAATGAACCAATAGATAATAATTACTAGTAACTAGATAATAAATAAAGAAGAAAATTCAGCTAGAATTATTGTATGTTTTGCTGGCTTATATCAGGATAGATAATTTTAGATTTTCTGCTAATTACTTGTATAAACAGGAATTTGTTTGCTTCATAATGCTAATATTGAACTTGTTCAAACGTGAAATCATGGATCGGTTCTTGTTCTATGCACTTTATTACAAATTCTAGGGGTACATAATTTGAGGTATTTGATGACCTTTGGAATTCAGACCCCACTTAAGAAATTTTAATAGATATGTTGTTGTTAATGATCTCTGGAATGATTCGCTAAAGTTAGTCACACATGAAGAATTTCAATAATTAAGTGTTTAATTAATTAGTCATGTTGTGTTTAGTACAAGCCCGACTTATCAGGATTCATGTTTGGAAATTCTACTTTGGGGTAAGGCGTTTCTTACCATAAACGATAGTAAATACTTTATCTTAACTAAAATATTAACTTGAGAATTAACAAATCATATTAAAAATTTGTATCACTTCACCATGTTAAATGTTATAAAGTGTATATGCAAGATACTATGATACAATAATTACTGACCAATTATTGTAACCAAAGTTAAGTGACTTGTTAAAGACGAAATAAAGTCAAGTGATTATATAGGCCAATTATCCATAGTTGAGTGATCATTCAAACTTGTAACTCTTTTATGGTAATAATTATAGGATGCACCTTTACAAATAAAATTGCAGTTTCAAATCCAATGTCTATCATGTTTTTTTCTTTCTTTCTAGAATTGGGTTCATCAACGGGTGATGAATATGCCTTATATCCTATCTTGCGTTTTAATTATCTCTTTTTCCTTTCATTCTTTTGAAATCTCTAACACAATATATCTATATTTTCTTCTCTCACAAATTAAATCAAGTATCTACATTAAAATTAGCCGTACGGAGACTGTAGCATATAATTAATGAGTTTAATTGACCTTTATATTTTTTATATGAAATATAGATACATATGTGGGAAAAAAATTACTAAACTTTCAAATAATAATAATAATAATTTTGAATTAATATAATACATATGTGAAAAGAGTGTTTGGTCCGAAGAGCAACCCAAGTCTGCCATATTAAAACACTTGGGAATCTCACCAATAATATTATTGAACATCTTCACGTCGAGCATTAGTTTTTCTTGCACAAAATCATTAGTGAGGACTGAGGAGTGACCAACTTATGACTTTTAGGTTATTAGTGTTAAAAAGAAACATGTAGAACATAATATCTCATGAAATTTATTCAATAAACTCTCACTCCCTCAAAGATATTGGAATATTTCCTACCTCTCAGAAGTATACAGAATTGACATTAACATAAACATAAATATCTTTAATTAACAACTTAGTGTAGTACTTAACTTTATTGGCAAGTGCAACATCTTGTTGTCTCATTTCTTGTTTGTTAAAGATATGACAATGTTGAAGAAGTTGCCTTTTTGAACCAACAAATGACAAGTCAAATGGTAGGCATATCTCTCAAACAAATAATCAACAATGGAATCTCCAAATTGGAAATGGCTAACAAGCATTTGTTCCAAAACAGCTCTCATGGTTCTTGCTATATGTTTACCACTGCTATATGCATCGAAACAAATATTCTCCCTCTCATCCCAATTCACTTTGAAAAACTTTACGGTAGCAACATCAAATGAACCTTCCATTTGAACAATTTTTTCAACTTCATCCTTGTATGGTGTGTAAAAAGGAAGATTAAAGGAGTCTAGTTTTGCCTGTTCAATAAG